ACTTTACCTTAATTTTTATACAAACATAAAAATAGAAAACTTTATATTTAATACTAAAAAAGAAGTTCTTCAAACAAGAGATAGCAAAAAAAGAAAACAAGACAATGGTTACTATATTAATTGATCTTGACTGCAGCTATACTTATCAAAAAATTAAGGCCATCTTACAAAATTATAAAAAGGTCTTAAGTATTTATATTTATAATCACTCTTACTCTCAAAGAAGAATCAAGGTACAACTCACTCCAAATCAATAAGACTTAGAGAATAGATGGTTTATATATATTAAAACAGATATCTGTAGAGCAATCTTCACCCAATATGAACTAAAGTTAATGCCATTCTCAAAAATTATAATAGCCAGTTTCTATAATTATATAGAATATATAATATCTTTATGAGTCTAATAGCAAGAGCAACATAATATACAAGGGTCAAAGCAGATTATATATTAAGAAATTTATTCACTCTAAAAAAAAAAGGATATGTGGTAGTTTGTTTTGCAATAGCAGAAAATCTGTACAAGGCTTCGAGACAATAAATATTTATATATAATTACAAACTCAACTGGAATGCTAGAGAACATTTTGGGAAAAGAACAATGCAAGGTAATAAAGGGACTCAAACTGAAAACATTAATGATAATAAAAAAAAAATCCATTCTAAAACAATACAAGTCAAACTGCGCTCAAGATAACTGGATCAAACTGATATTAGAAGCAATATCTTGATAAGCCAGTATACATTATCTGAAGAAGACTCAGAAACAAAGGGTGATTCTAAGAAAAAGACAGATCTAAAAAGAAGAAAAAAAGAAGAAAATGCAACCCTCAAGACAACAAACACTTTATTTAAACAATAGAGACTCCTAAATGCTTTGTTACTAATAGTAATAGTGAGTCAATAAATTATCATAATAGAAGAAGAAGTTTGTACAATAATTAATTTTCAAAAATATTATCAAAAAAGGAAATTTTTAAGGAAACTATGGATCAGCGGAAAGAGTTTTTTTTTTTTATTTTATTTTATTTTATTTAAATCGCAACTGGTATTAGATATGAGCTTTATTAAGAATTAACTTAACATTTGATGGATAACTAAATCCGTAGTGTGACATCAATCATCTTATACAAACTATATATTTCTATATATATGCAGATTAATGATAACCTATCATAGTTTGTCCTAGTTAAACTAACTACCACTCCTTAAGTGGGCAGACCTAACTAGGGGCCAGATGATTAATATACAATTATCAATGGTGTGGCTAGTCTAGTTGATATTGAGCTTGTTAATTTATGTTTGTTATTATTTCACTAAGCTAGTCCTTTTTGTGTATACCCGACGAGATATTTTATATCCTCCAATATTCCCAGATATTATTTGCTCAGACCTCAGAAGGGGGCACGTTACCTTCTTTGTCACTATCTGTGGCATCGGATCAGTCCTTATTAACTGATTTTTAATTAAGTGGAGCATCAGATTGGAATATCCTGAGCTAGGAGAGCGGGGGTCTTGGAGACTGCCAGGATAGAGAGTCTTGGGGGCGTTTATGGTAGATTAGACCAGAAGCCTTTTTTAATGCAATCCTTTCAGTAGTATGACTGTAAATCTCAGTTCCTGATCAATAGAAGGCCAGAAGTCACATCTTCCTGTAGCCTAACCTGATTGGATTTTGTTCTGGATGATTGGGTATGACTTTTACAGGATAACCAGTAAAACCTGATCTGAAGGTAATTTTTTATTTTTGGTCCTTAAGTGGTATTGAACTACAGACCTTGTGATTGTGACCTGGGAGCATTACCATTGTGTTATTGATTGACAAGTCTTGAAAAAAGTTTTTTTTTTTTTAATATTTATTTTATATTATTTATATAATAATACATAATTTAAATTATAATAATATAAACTATATATTATATATTATATTATAAATAATATTAAATAATTTATAAATATAATTTTAATCCAGAAAATTCCTACATAAATTTATTAAATTTTTTACTTTATTGTTGAATTTTTGCTAAATAGTTTTAATTAATAGTTACTGAATTTTATTAAATAGGTTTAATGAATAGTTGACAAATTTTTAATAAATAGTTTCAATAAATAGCTGACAAATTATTAATAAATAATTAATAAATAATTAACAAATTATTAAAAAAATTCTTAATAAATTTTTAATAACTTTTAATAAATTTTTATTAAATAATTAATAAATTATTTGACAAATTATTAATAAATTTTTTGATAAATTATTAATAAATTTTTTAATGAATTGTTAATAATTTATAAATATATTAATTTTTGTAATTGTAATTTATCTATATATATACAGTATATATATATATATTTTTTAATGCTGACTTTATCATATTTTATTGAAACTTAAAGATAGAAGGAATTGAGTATAAACTCAAACACTGTACATCTGAATTTTTATATCTAATAAAGTAGAAACAATAAAAGATCTCCTTTAAGGATCACTTTACCTTGTGACTAGACCATCTCTTTAAAGACCAAAGAATTAGTGTATAGCTCCACTAATGCCGAAATAAATTTCAAATATGTATAAAAAGAAAAAGAGAAAAAAATTATGTTCCTAGTTATGTTCTACTATTCAGAAAATTTATCGAAATTTAAAATCTACTTAACAAAAATATATTTGATACTCTACCAAACTTCTCAAGCTAACTATTCTTATAAATAAGTGAGCAAGGCTGTACAAACTTAAACAGGAGTGAAGATTTTGCATTACAAAAAAGAACCGGAGAATTGAGAAAAATAGTTTAATTATGTTTGACTATTGTCTATCAGTTCTAGTCTCATTTCTTCTATACCTTATCTAGTATAGGATCTTCTATAGATGTTCTTCTGAGTGATAACAAGTCGGAGGTTTCGTGGGAGCTCTAGGATATAGAGGAGGTGAGAAGAAAAGAAGAAAGTTTGGGGCCCGTTATCTGTCAGTCTATCTTTCTTTACCATTACGATAACTTCATCTTAGAAAGGAGAATCTTGATACTTCTAGCATGCATCCTGGCAGACTTGATAAATGTCATACTGTTTTCTTCAGAGTACTACCATCCATAGAGGTTGAGCCATTGTCTACAGTCTTGGTGCATTCTTCAGGTATCTATGGTCCAGTGATTACAAGTTGATATTGATAATTAGGTGAGAATAATTCTAAGACCTCACTGATCTCCCAATAAGCTTGTAGTAAAAGATAGGCATGACACTTTTAAGGCATTTTCCTTATTCTGTATTCCCTTGAGTCTTGCCTTTATCTATTTTTCTAGGTAGGTGAGGAGGGGAATATGTTCCTTCTCTTTCACTTCATCAATAATATAGAAGTTGACAGTGTTCTTTATCCACCCGTACCAACCTAAATGACTTATAGTGAACCTTAAATTCTTATGAAACTAAGGAAATGCATTCAAACACATAAGGTGATCAATATAAGCTTGTTTATTACTTTTTTCCTGACGTGTTTAGTTATATTCACTAAAGATACAAGAAACTTTGTGCTACTCAAAATTCAGGGTCAAACTGAGATAGACAAATTTCCTAAAAAACCTTAAAACGAGCACTCTTATAGCCAATAAGAGATAACAAGAGGGAGAAATAAGTCTCTTGTACCTATGCAAAACTATGTAGTGTTTCTCTACAATGTGAGATGACTGTATGTAAGTTCTTCTTCCTTTCAGAATCTTCTTGCCATTAGTAGGAAAGGTAATTGCTCAACTTTTTTTGGTTACAAGAGGTTGAGATTTGTATGAAGTAAGTTGTAAATAAGAAAGGAGAAAGATAAGATAATTTCTGAAGACTGACTTCAGATTGGTTTAAGGAGAGTGTTAAGGCTTTATTAGTAAGAAGGGACAAAACTCTTCTTGTGAAAGTCTTTTTTGTGTGTGGTCAGAGGATCAGCGGAAAAAGTGATTGTGCAATTTATTTATATTATTAATTTGTTAAATAGGTTATTTTTGTCAAATATTATATAAGTGATAATATATCAAATAATCTTTTTTTAATTAGTGATATTTAATTTAAATTAATTTGATTTGAAGCTTAAAAGATAAAATTGAATTTTTTGATCCTATTATAATTTAATTTTCTTAAACTCTTTTTTTCCTTTTTTAAAAAAGTTGTATAAATTTTTTAAAAAAATATATAAAGTTAGTAGGTCTTATTTATTTTATTAATTATGTAGTATGATATTTATTTGATTGTTCTTTTAAATATTTGAGTCCTCTTTTATAAATATTTTTTATCTGATTTGATCTTTTCTAAAAAAAATTATTAAAAAAAAATAATTAACAAAAAAAATTTTTTTATTATAATTTAATTTATAAAATAATACATTAAATATTTATAAAAAGCAATCTAAATATATAACATTTCTTACTACTTTATAATCAATTATTAAGAATTGATTTGAATTCAATCTATAAAAAGTTTGTTATATGATTATTAAAAAAAAAAACTTTTTTAAATATCCATTCCATTTGACGCTCGGACTCTCCGGTCACGTGATAATCATATATATTAATAATATGCTAGCACATGAACCTGTATTACTCTGGAGTGTAACATTCTCTGCTATTCTTAGGAGCTATCATTTTGGGACTTCGAAAAATTCCCATCCCCTTCGAAACTAATTGTCCATATTAAATGAATTAATTTTATTGGGTAATTGAGCGTGTTTGAGGTTTAATTCAATGATGTGATCACCCTACGTTGATTATATTATGCTTGTATGTATACTTTATTATGAAAAAAAAGTTTAAATATTTACTAAAAGTTAATTTCTTGAATTGTGCTTCCAGGGAATATAGAAAAATTCGAAAGACAGAAGATGACATGAGGTTTCATATATAATAGAAAATTTTGGATCTAAATAGAACTACTAATACAATGGGCGGTATATACACTTCATAATCTAATTTCGCAACAGTAATCACTTAAATTAATATTTTTCCTTACTATTAAAGGTCATAATCCTTTTACCATTCACCGTTCGTGGCAGCCGATATGGCTTCCTCTAGTGATAGGTGGAAGAAACGTTTCTTCAATTGTATGACGGAATTGTCTTCCGCCTTATCCTCAACACCTGAACTTTCCAAGTCTCCAGGACGAGATTCTTCCGCATTCGTTTCTATAGTTCCAAACCCACTCTCTATGAGGGTTTGCTGGATTGAGGAGGTTGCTATGTTTGCGAAATGAAATTCTACCCGTCGCGCCGCGTGTTTGTTCAACGCCTTTTTAATATCTATCAACGAATTCATACCCGTCGAGTCGATCATGCTTACCGACGTCATATCAAACACGACAGCCTTTAATGGGGGTAACTTGGAATTTTCTTGAAAGTAAGTTTCATCGTTTCTGCTGCCGGCATCGTTCCATGGTCGATCACCGAATTTTTCGGCTCGCTTTGCCATTCGTCTGGTATGCTCCTTGATATACTCCACTACCTTGTCATCAATAAAGCTTGCGTTTGGATGTGTAAGACCTTCCTCAAACCTAAAGACGAGTACACCATCCGGTGGATGAGCGGCATGTGCAAATGCCTTACGCATTGGAACATATGCATATTTTTGTGATTCTCCTTCGCCAGTTGGAACACGGCCGATAGCGTAGAACCTAGGGCGGGCCAATCTTATGAACAAGACTGCGAGCGCCAGACTAGTTGACGAATAAATGCCAACCTGGTAAGTAAATTAAAAAGGTTATAATTAGGGAGATAGGTGACATATTTAATGTGTAGCTACTACATTTTGACAGTAATACTTACTTCGACCGTAGTAAAGATGGTGACGATAAGGCCAACGGCGAAAACGGCAAAATCCCAGACTAATCGATGAAAAAAGAAAAAATAAGTCGATGCATATACGGATAGGGTAGTAAAATCGGTTAACTGTAGATACTGTACACTGAATGTGCCATAATTTTATCCAATATGAAGGTGGAGATATAAGGCCAACCACAGCATGAATTACGACCGCACTAAAAAATAACGCGTTCAAGAAAAGGGGAAATTTTAAGTTTTTTTTTTTTTTTTTTCCTTCGACTAACATACAACCGACCGCTCGCATGATAATAGGACAAACCATACTTTAAAGACGCGCTCGGAATATAGGTAAACGCAGGAGACAAAACGTAAAGAGCCAAGAGGACTAAGGCACCCGTAAAGATACCGGCCAGTGGAGTCCTCACACCAGACCTTGAGTTGATAGCACTACGCGAGAAAGAACCGGTGGCCGGATATGCACCAAAGAACGAGCCGAATACATTGGTTATACCAATGGCAATAAGTTCTTGACTTGGTTGGACTAAAAGATGAGGATTTATGTCCGGTTAGTGCAAAAAATGATAACGAACCTTTTAACATTAAATAATCTAAGATATATACTCGTATAGTCATTTATTCGACCAAAGCTTTTAGCGATAGCAATGTGCTCCAGGATTAATATGAGAGTTACCGAGGGAATATATTGGCCCACGTAGGATAAAAGAGTTTTATCAAGGATTGGTGGGCCAAGATGGTCGAACCCTGTAGGAACTTTTCCCAGAACTGATATTGGACTTTGCGCCGACAAATTACCAGCCGAAACGTTCTTGTTAATAAGATAGGAGATCAAGGTGTCTATAATCACCACAATCCCAATGCGGAAAATTCCGATAAAGAAGAAAATCCTTTCCCACTTTGGGAGACGTTTGCTGAGATAAGCGGTGGAAAATTTAATGACATATAAAACGAAAAGACTAACTAATCCCATAATCGCGTCTTTCTTGATTTTTGACAGGTGAGAAAAAATGTTTATAATGACCAAATAACAAGCTTGTGTAGTATCTATCCCCTTAATACCCAGTAAACTCGGAACCTATTTTAATGAAGAAGGGATTAATTAGTATGAGGAAGTCTAGCGGTTAGACATTTTCATTTATTATAATCAGGCGTTACCTGACCAGTGGCAATTGTGACAGCGGATCCGGTAGTAAAACCGGCAATGACAGGAGCCGAAATGATATTGGTCACAATTCCAAGACGGAATAATCCAATGACGAGAGCAACCATACCAGATAAGAAAGCGAGGGAAGAAGCTAGTTGTGGATTAGTATAAGGGAAATTTTTATCACCACCTGTGATGGAAGCTAGGGACTGGGCGATGAGTAAACTCATTACTGATGTGGGTCCAATTGTAATGTCCTTTGATGTGGAGAATAAAAAATAGAGAGCGACTCCCACGAACGAAGAATAGAGGCCGTATTCTGGGGGTAAGGTTGCAGTCTTAGCATAACCCATCCCCTGCGGGATGACCACAACGCCAATCGTTAGACCTGCAATAAGGTCTCCGATGAACCAGGTTAAATTATAACGACCGATCCAACTGGCGATCGGAAATAAGGATTTCGCATAATCAGCGGTGTTTTTAGGTAAATCCTTGAGGAATTTCTCGATTTCACCGCGCTTGTCACTTTCTTTCAATTCGTAAATATATGATGACGATGAGGTCATGGTTATCAATTTGGGGGATTTCAATCTCTTTGTGATTACTGACGGAAATCAGATATTTGAATTTTCATGAAACTGGAAGATATTTATGTAAAATTAAGAAGATACTTGATATCTGTAATCTATACAATTGTACTGCAAATTGGATCTAACAGTCAGATGATTTACGTGACATAATGCAGCAGAAATCGCATCATCGCCCAACATACTAACGACATTTCTAAATATAAACAGAGAAGCACGTATCTACATTAATGTGTAATACCATAAAATGATGGTTAAAAATTAAATCCAATGTCAACATAATAAAAAAAATTTTTTTTAAATAGATACTGCATTAAGTTATGCACTTTACAGTACAATTATCGATTCTTAAATTACTGTAGAAATTAATCCTTTTATCGAACTTATTTGATTTATAAGAATTTTCTTTGAGCGAGAGATGGAGAAAACCTGTTCATTATTACAAATGTACGACGTGCAATGGCAAACACATCATTCTCGTTAGCGTTAGAACCATTCAGTAAGTGTAGTACCTATAAATACGTTTACTTCTCGCCGAGCATAATTCCTCTTAAATATTATATTTAGTTGCGTGCACAGCACTTACGGCAGTCAACAGCAAAAGAGCGTTGCGTAAAAAAAAAAAAAAAAAAAAAAAAAAACCGCAAATTTAGGTCACGTGATGTTAAATATGTAGGTATGTAAGAATCGTGAATATAAATAATAGCGATCAGCGATATTTCCCTAAAAAACAATCACGCCTTCAGATGTTTACATTAGCTCATGCATATGTTATGTAACACAATTACGTTATTCACCAATCGATTGGAGAAATTCAAAGTGTCGCGTATTTTCTACTTCGATACTGTATCTCTCACCACCAGTTCATTGATTTTTACATATTGACACTCTAACTTGCCATAAGCAAGTTTATATGGCGCGTAATTCTATTTTTCAGTTTACCAATTAGTTCTTTAATTGGGTAAATTCGTAAATTCTAAAGAGAGCACGGATCGTTTCTTTTTTTTTTTTAGGTTGTACGCATGTAAAAAACATGTTTATTAAGTAATTGTTTAATCGAAGCTGCTTGACTCGTTACGTTAAAAGCTTGTACCTCTTTATAAAAACGTGTCTTTGAGTTACTGTACATGTCGTTAGAAAAGTTGAACACTGTACATGCGCATTATAAACTTGCATAAAAATTATTATTCTACCTATCCACGCTAAGGTCAACATTATTTTCTCCTGCATTAGCGAAATATATTATTGCACACACGTGTATGTATTGACTCATGTGATCAAGAATCACCAGTTACTGCCCGTGGTCTTAGATTCTTTGTGAGTGCTATATGGATAATTATTTTTGAAGGCAACAAAAATGCTAGATGTGATTTTTTCGACCCCTACTTTTGAACAATGCGTACACAATGTAAATTTTAGGATCACAATTATAGTGCCAAAAAAAATCCCTGTCCGCCTTCGAAAATAATTACCCATATTGATGGTTATTGTATTTAAAATAAAATTCAAACTTAAATTTAATCATATACAGTATAAAGTGTTTATATGCTTGCTTACTATACTAATAATAAGGGCGGGTAGATATTATGACAGATTTTTATAGTTCCGGTCGGAATTATGATGTATTGTGGTGCATTTTTGACCTAATTTTTACAGTTCCGGCCGGAATTATAAGCGCGTTAAATGTAAAGTGTGCATACTTTACAATGCATTTATAAGTATCCAATGTATTTATAATTGTAAAACACTATGATACTTAGAAGTGAAAGAACTCTTTAACGATATACAGTATATAAGACAACATGGAACTAAAAATACATCTTACCAAAGAAGAGGAAGTAAAGATGTGTTTATCTATGAAATATCATTCCCAAATATAATACAATAAATGTTCTAGTCGAATTCTGTCATTCAGCAGTCGAATGATTTTCAAATAAGAACATGGATTTTTTTTTAGTGCGACTAGTCGATTTAGAAAATCGATTTATATTAGTCTCAGGAATCAAAGAACTAAAAGTCATTCGAGTGGACGGGTCGATCACAAAATTTAAGCCACTCTAATTACTATACATCATACGTTTTGGGTTCATAAATTCGAGTGACGTGTGGATCACAAGTGATCCTAGGTGTGATGTGTAGATCACAAAACTCAAGTTATACTTTATGTAAAATTTTATATATCAGCTTAATGTTAATCAAGAAAGTTATCAACTATGCTATACTGTAATATGCTATCATGCATGCTATCGAGTGTTATATACTGTATATGCCTTCGAGTATGTCAAAATATCTGATTCAAGTAATAAAAAAAGTAGGTTAACTTAGAGCATATACAGTACGTATGTAAGAAAGCCGATGTACAATAAGTATATCTTTTAAGTGTTATTAAATCTGTGATTAATATGTAATAAATCCGAAGCTATCTTCACCTGTTATCTACTCGAAATATCACGGGAATAGGTAGACTTCTGCTATTCTTCTTATACCGTATTACCGCAGTTGGCTAACCCCGATCACATAACACAAAATATACAGTATATCGAAAACATATTATACCCAAACATCATCTCGATCACGTAACATAAAATGGGTAACCTTCTTCCATTTTTCTTATAATATATTACCGCACTTGAAAACTCACCAGTCACCTATCCAAAAACGTATCATCGAAAATGGTACCCTTCTGTTGTTTTTTTAAATAATATATTACCACACCTGGATACACTTATCGAAGTCATGATTCTCTACATTATCTCACTAAAACTCGATGCATCTTTTTTTTTTACCAGGCATGAAAAAATTGGTTTAAGCTTTCGAAAATATATGAGATAATATAACTTTTTTAACCAATAAATTCATGGCATTTAAAAACCAATTACCTAAAGTGAG